GACTTAGGATCCACTGATATGGCCCTGGCCCTCAATAGATACTTGTGCACAGCTGTTCTCCCCCTGCTTACCAAGTGTTCAGCTCTCTTCCTTGGCTTAGAGGATCATATCTTTCTGGTTGATTCTCTCATCCAGGCAGTCTATCGCCTCTCAAGGGCTCTAAGCTTGACCAAGGCTCAGAGAGACACTACTGAAGATTGTTTGTTAGCTTTGTGCAGGTAAGGTCTTTTAACTAGTAGGATGCAGCAATGAATAGTGTTGGAGTTCAAGGGCAACAAACACTGTTTAATATAGCATAGCTCAACACTAGTTGCACAGCGTTTAAGATATCTTAGTATTAGATACTAGATATTTCAACAAAAGATGGGATTCTCCCCTGGGTACTGTTTTGCAAATACTTGTTTTTGCAGTTGTTAGGTCCACCACTTTTATTTATAACAGCATCCAAAATGGAACCAGCTATCGGAGCGTTATTTTTTGGTTTGCTGCATCATCTGTATTCTTCTCTTAATTCACGATTTATTTCGCCATCACTTCCCCAAATCCACCGAACTCATTCTCATTCTGCTGTTTGACAAAATCTTACACTGAGAAGACAAATGAGAAACACCAACAAATTAACTGATCCAGACACAACAGTGCACTCTTATTCCCACTCATTATATTTAATGAATCACTGCGAAGCCTGTTTTTCCCAATTCAGACATAATTTACCAAATTTAATCAACATGCTAACAAATTAATTAACATCTTGCCCATGGCATCTGCTGAATTATATGTGTCATTCTTCCAAGATGTGATAATCAGTCAAAACATTCATTCTGTGTGTGTGCGCGTGTGTGTTTTGTTGAAAGTGGAGTGTATCTGCTCCTGTGACTAATTCTTCACCCATTGGTGTCCTCAGTAAACTCCAACCATCCATGATGCAGCCTCTTCTCCGACGGCTTGTCTTTGATGTTCTCCATCTCTCAGACCACAGCAAAATGTCACTAAAGGTAGATACATAGGTGAAAATATATTAAAACACCAGTCCAGAATGACTGATTTTGTCGACTGATCATTACTTAAATCTACCAGCTGCTGACCAGTCACTACGAGCAGAGGTGGAGGTACTACTCCCAAGCTGCCGGGCAGGGCGACCAGGGTTTGGCCTCTGAAGAGGAGCTGCACCTGTCCAGAAAGTTGTTCTGGGGGGTGTTTAAGGCCTTGGCAAAGAAGGTAAACCATATTAAATACCTGTTTCAATCTTGATATGATACTAAAATCCTTTGAAATTGGAATATCATTTCCTTGGAGCACCGAAATGGTTGCAGAAAATGAGAGAAAATGTTTGTTTTCTTCACAGTAATCCTTCCATTGATTTCTCACCTCTTTTCTTTTTCCGTCCTCCTCAAAGTCTATTTCAGGACAAATGGCAAAATGCATTTCTGATGTTCTCCCTCAGTGTGCTGGGAGAACCTGAGTGGAGGGAGATGTACCACACTTGAGATTAAGTCTAAATTTTTCATATCTTGGTATGAACCTTCGTATCGCTCTTGAACGGACTTGTTGGAAATGTGAGAGACGAAATCAACAAGTCAGTCTGCTTCTCAGCTTACTTAGGGCACGCACCAAAATATTTCTGACTATCTCTTATCTGAGTGATTCAGCGCAGGAAAACATCAAAGTAATAAGTTCATGGGGTTATTCCAGCTTCTCTTGTGACCCTCATCAAACAGACTCACAAGCTGAGCCCTCAGTACATATAGTATAGCTAACTGTGTTACTGCAACCAATGTGCACAGCTTTTCAGTTGCCCTTTTTATTTATTATGCTTACTGTAGTTTCATTATAACAAAACTTAAGGTGGAAACATGTTTGAGTTAGACTGTATAGAAAGGACAACTGACTACATGAGCAAATGTGTGGGATGGAGTACACTGTCTGAAACATGTTTGTTTTGGACAGTGACACAATTTGTGTCATTTTGCCTCTTTACACCTCCATTAGCTCGTCCAATTACTTTGGAGTCTATGAAAACAGAGGGACTTTAAAAAAAAAAAGGCTATTATTCCTAAACTGGCGATGCAATGTTTTTGTTAAACCTGCTTCAATTATAGGAGTCTGTGCCTCAGTCACATCTTGATTGCTTCATTTCAAATCCATTGTGATGCTGTATAGAGGCAAAATTATGACAATTGTGTCACTGTCCAAGGACTTGTGGATCTGACTGTATGTTTGCATCCTGCTTTGCATTTAAATCAATGCAAAAAAAAAAAAGGTGTTATTACCATTTTGCTGTGACCTCATTGTATAACATCATGCAAACCAGAAACTCATCATGTACATTTTAGTTGGTGAAATGGGATTTTCTGACCACTTACATGACATGTTTTAGCATATGTGAATTTAAACAGACTTCACTGGAAGAGGTGTGTTTGCAGTGGAGTATGTGTTTATATGTTTTTTCCAAAGTAATTCAATTGATAAATAGAATTAAATAAACTAGTGTGCTCAGTTTAAAGGGTTTTCTCTGCTATTGCAAATTTGAAATTAAATGTCTGTTTTTCAATATGCCAAACTTCATTTGATTAGTAGTTGGAGTAGGTTGGGAGAAATCGGATGATCACCGACCAGCTTATTATAAACATTCTGTGTAACAGGGTTACTGCAGTCCATATAAAGATAGTTCTTCAGTGTTCTGTCCTAACTTGATCTCCCAATGTGCTGTTCCCTTTTATGGCAGTCAGAATAATGTGGTGGATGGAGACAATTTCTCCAAGTTTCACAGATTTTAGAGTAAGATGACAGGCTGGTTCCATTAGACTTTGAAATGTCTTGAATAATTCCAATTTTGTTCTCTCTATATTTTTATGTGATGTAACTGTCCATCCTCCACAGTCTCATGCTTTATTGTATTCTGTCTTTTGCTCCTTTCCCTCTGTGCCTTGTTTCCTACACCCACTTCCTTCTCCCACTTTGAAGCCCTATGAGCCTCTGTTATTTAGGCTGTGTGTGCAGTGCCTGGCTGCTGTGGCCAGAGCCCTGCCTCCTGACCATATGGACCCAAGCTGTTTGTCTCAAATGGAGAAAAAACACTTAATGGACACAGATGGACACTTTGACCCCCAACCTGTAAATACCTCCAGGTAAGACACAGACCAGGGATATCGATTATTGACAAGAAATATATGTATGTCTTGAAAGCTCCCTGTGCTGCTTAAAGACAAGTTTAAGCTCTAATTTGGTAGATAGAATTAACTTTGGCACAGAGTAGCTTGTTCCAATCAGGTGTGTTAATGTGCTATAAAACAAAATCATGTATTATTTCTCCCTCTGTACTAGTGTGTCTGTGCCAGAGAGACTGGAGCTTGTAGTGAACAAGTATGCAGAGCATACTCATGAGAAGTGGTCACTGGACAAGGTAATTATACTTCAAATCTGAATGACCTGTTAAAGTTGACAGAATAGAGTTGATAGTCGCAGTCCTGGCCGAGACTGAACCACTTACGAATATATCTCAAAGATAATTTGTCTCTCTGACAATGTCAAACGTATGTCTGTGTGGTGTGTGCTTGAGTTAATATGATGATGTCTGCATATTTCCTAATACATGGTTTGCGGTGAATCTCTGTGTTATCTCTGTCAGTTTGCCAACGGCTGGGTTCACGGGGAGCAGCTTTGTGAGAACACCAAGGTTCACCCTCTCCTCAAGCCGTACAGGGCTCTGGCTGAGAAGGTAGACTGAGAAGTCAGTTTTTATGGTGTGTGTGTACAAATGTTCTTCAATAATGAAAGTGGTGAACTGACGGATCCCAGAGGCACTTGCATACCAAATGTGGTGTATGTAATATGAAAGATTAAAATGCTTCGCTTCGTGGTTTTTGAATTGTTACACCACTGCCTTCATTACAAAACTTGCCGCGTTGAGTGGGCACAGTTTGTTCTAAGTTTTTGAAATAGCAACATAGTTCAAGCGAGTTTTGCTCTTCTGCTGTCCTTTGATGACCTGCTAAGTTCAGTTTGAGATGATGGTTTATATATTTTGGGGTTTTCCAGGAGAAGGACGCATACCGCTGGGCCATCAAAGAGACCATGAAGAGTATGCTGGCCTTCGGTTGGACCATAGAGAGGACTAAAGCTGGAGATGCATTCGGCATGCATGCCTGTGCACCCAAGGTCTCTCAGTCTGGACAGGTATATGCACTCAAAGACCACATTCACTGAGCCTCGGGGCACTGATCACATTTGTCCTTCTAAAAACAATTACATTTACAGCTAATCCATTTTTCTTTTAAGTAATCAGCTATTTGTCATCTGCTCTAGTTGTCTTTTGAAGGAGCATCAACCTTCAGCCCCAAACCTATGGACATGAGCAGTATCACCTTGTCGTGGGACCAGTGTGTAAGTTGGAAAAATATTAACTGTTGTTCATTGTTTCTGATTTAATCCTGCTCCAGGATTTGCAGATGTAATAAAACTGGACTTGATGTAACTTTTTCTTGTGTAAAGCAAAGATGTATTCACATTGTGTGGTGCCCCAGGAAAATCCAAATCATATTCATATTCTTGCATGTAAACAAGTATTGCGTATTTGTCTTAAGAGTTGGTACATTATGCAATCATGTCAATGCCTTACATCAATGCTCATTTTTCCCTTTGTTGTCTTTTCTTTAGGCCATGGCTGAACAGTTGGCTGAAAACTACCACAATGCCTGGGCTAAGAAGAAGAAATTAGAACTGGAGAGTAAAGGTAATAACAACA